AGGGGCCGAAAGGCACTGCGAAACATGGGATGGGGCTAGCTAAAAACTCAAATCAGTGAAGTGACAAGGAATACCTTGGTATTCAAAACGTATCATGGGCTGTATAGGATGTAGAATACACAAGTATATAAGAGAGGTCTGTGACAGATAAGTGCGACCAGTGATCTTAAATACCCATCTTCGACGGAACTTTGATTCGGGGCGGAAAAATATATCAGCGGATCAGTTAAGTTCGGGAATCCCAGTCAGGCCAATAGGAGAATTAATAAGTAACCAGAGGCATCAGCCAACCCGACCACCCAAAGTGTCCACCGCGTGTTGCTTTCCCCAGCTATTAATGGGATGGATCGATGGATCGATGGATCGATGGACTTCATTGGTGGAGGCAGACCAATTTAACATGGTGATGGCCTAGACAGCATGGTCCGCTACGCAGAGGTGAACGCTAGCGCTTCGGCCCACGGAGTGGGTGCTGTTGAGTGGGTCCGAAGCTGAACCCCCCTTTTGGGAAACATCACTTTGCGCCCATCGCAACGCGGCTTCGCGTGCAAAAGACGCGTTTTTGTTGTAGTTCAGAGGTATGAATTGACTTGTTATTTCAGAGGGATACATGAGTCTATACATACAACAATTAGCCAAGTTGATTGGAAATCAACTTGGTCGTCTGTATAGACACTTCGGAGCTAATTCCGACGGTGCGGCTTGGTTCCTGATCTGCACCAGCTTCATATCACAACAATCGCGTCCTCTGCTGCGCTATATAATATATCCGTGAGAGCTTTTGTGCTCCAGAACACCAACATTATTACCGAATTCCACGCCATTGTACATAGGAGCAGGCCATCGCCACTGTGAAACATTTCTGTGGAGTCCTTTTATAGCCGGATCGGAGATAAGACGCCAACGTGACACTACGACGCGTGCTCCATCGCGTCTCCCGTCCTCGACCTCACCGCCTTCGTACAATGAACGGTGGGGTGTTCGCCGTTCCCATCGCGAGGTCTTGTCCCATCACGACTGTACAATTTCTTGTTATAGGTGGCTTCGCCACGTGCCCTTGGGGCTCAGAAGTTGCCCGGTGCACCCAGCGCGGCTTATTCGAAGCGACAGCCGGAGGGTGCGACGAACTGTATACAACATCATGTCAAATGGCATGAATGGTGACTGCATTGATAAAGACAATTGTAAGTGATCTCGGCGGTAAGATATAACCACGAAGCTAATTGACCGTCTCGTCTCAAGCGAATATGCTGCAAACTCTATCAATAGGTAAGTCATAACAACTCGTCCAAGTGGTAAGCCTTGCTGACTCGGATCATACAACAGGAGGTCCCCTCATATTCCCGTCACTCGTGTCGAATGCGAGGCGAGGAAATGTCTTGTCTGCTCGAGCTTCCCTATATTGATGCGATCGCATGCTGTCTATCATTTCCGCATTACTACTGATGGCATCGATGAGTCAATCTAAGGTTCAGATCGTCTCGGCCCTTCTCTCAGTCGTCTCTGTGCATCAGTCATGTGCTGATGTGTCTACCCGATACAAAACCCCAACTCGAATGGGATCATACCACCGTGTGTCTGGGCATTCGAACACCGCGAAAGAATAGCCTCCTTGTGGATCGAATTACGGAGGTCCAATGGGTGATCCTTATTGTCCTCGGTTAGCATCTCGCGTCTCCCCAGTCCTAGAACTCCGAAAGACCCGGTTTGGAGATTTGGTGGCTCGTTAGACGCATTCGATTGTACCGTTGTTGGCCTCAAGCAGTGCCTCCCATGGACTCCACTAAAATCAACTTTGTGTATCTCCTAGTCCCGCGCTGCTCGAACTATACTTTTCTTTGTTACTCGCAGCCAACTCATGTTGCCTCCACCAGAATCTCTGCTACCTGGCGCCACAGACAGTATGAACATACTCTCAGATCCAGGATGTTGGTTGTCTTTCTTTGACAAAGAATCAAAGGGTCTAGATCTTGTTGGAAAGCCCAGTTGCCTGAGCTTAGTTTCCTGAAAAACCAACTAAGCCATTTCAGCTACCAAAGTATCTGATCTGTTTCCTCGTCGATCGCCTTTATCTCACGAGATTGTAACGCTACTATCACACTCTATTGGTACCCTGAGTCGCAAGAAGCACCAGTTGGGACAAGGTCGCGTGCAGACAGTGTTTCCATTGACCCCGTAATATGTCTCAGTCATTTCCCACACGGCGCATAAACTCTTGTCTGTAAGGCTTTGGTTCCATTAATATCTCGCTTCTCCTCCCACCTAGCTCATCATTCGTCTTCTCGTCTTCTCAATTTATCCAGGATGGCACGTACAGTGCATCAAAATCGGAGCCAGCAGCAAGCCAATTCTCATGTGCAAGTGCCAAAGCTGCTGGAAGATCAACTTTCCACATTCGGTGATATTTTGCGCCACAGCTAATCGGGTGAAGTGCGATCGAATTCAAGTGTCTCTATGCAGAGGAATCAGAATGATACAGCGACTCGGTACTTGACCGCAGAAACTTCGACTCCGACCAGATCTTCCTGGCCATCTTAGCCTGTAAGTAAGCGGTAAGGACTCACGACCAGCCTCACTTATTTGGAAGCTGTTTCTAATGGACTGCGCTCAGGTCTGTGAAACAATTGATTGAGCGTTGCCAGGAGAAGGTTGGTTCCATCTTCAGTAAGTAAACAGTACAAATTACCCGGGGAAGTCCCGTGGATTATCTCGTCTCTCAAGATTATCGAGCAGTCGGCCTCTTATTGCAAGATTTTCAATTAAGTACACGACAGTCCATTATGCCCTTTCTGAGGCTTCATTCTTAATCAATGTTTCCATACGAGCCATTACCTCGCACAAACGTCAAGTATGAGAGCTAGAAATGGACGATCAGTTCGTCATTGTCAACGAATATAAAGGTGTTTATCACACTGCAAATCTTCATCGTAAGCCATGGCCTGACCACAAATGATTAATTTGACTGTTCGCAGACTCAAACAAAACCTTGGATATACAAAATAGCATCACTCCATGCAACTACCTCATGCTACAGACTATGACATAAAGATCAACGTCTCTCTTCTCCTTTCTTGGTTGTGCCGCTGCCATCGTCATATATATGACAAACCTTCCTGCCATTCTCGCCCGAGATCTCTGCGCTGATAACCCATTCCTTGTCGTCACGGTTGAAATGGGATTGGTGCACGGGGTTGTTTTCTCGGTGTCTGATTTCGGGTTAGAAGAATTCAACAAGCATGCCTTTCTCAAGCTAAACGTACCGGATTTCGACTCTTTTCAACTTGCCAAGTCTCTGCAGCTCTTTTCATCAGTGAACCGAACTCAAGATAACACAACAGGAAATTGAGTATCGACACACCTCTTCACCGCCCCCTCCTGGGCCTGTGAATCTCTCCACGGCAGATCGCCATTTTTCGGGTAGTTTGTTTCTATCGAACCCGGCCCACTGGAGAAGAGCCCGAGCGGATGTGCTAAAGAGGCGAGACATATTGTATTCACTCTTGCCGAAAGCTAAGTGCAGGGGTAGCAGAAGCACGACCTGGAACGAGATCACTGTTTCCGAATAATGGGCCAATGGAGAATATTGGAACGAGAAGATTTGAGCGATTGTATCGCTTTTCCCGGAAACGAAATTGTTTCTATACCCCTACTCTGTCTATTTGGGACCTGAACCATGCGGAAGCTTAGCCGTGAAGCGATACGCCTGTCGCTATTTCAAGAGTAACCGCCCTTCTTCTTATATTGAGTCCATCATACCCACTGGGTTCACATACTAGACACTTGGCATTGAAGGAGCTGGCGTAGCATGTGTTTCAGAGAATCCGGTAGCCCTCGTCGGAGGTGTGATAAGTATAATACATGAATCATATTCAGCCTCGGCGGCTATCGATAGGCTCATTGGCTCCCGCACTCTTTAGCGCTCCGCGCTTTGATCTTCCGCTAAGTCGAAAATAGTAGCCTATTACAAGCGTTTGGATAATTCCAGCCCGGATGATGAGTCATCAGTTTCACTCCTAACTAACTTGTTAAACTCTCATTACCTTCGTCCTACATTCTTCCTGTCTCACCTTGACGAAACCAGCCTCCTCTTCTTCCACATGTTAAACATGGCTAAAATCATGAGATGGGCCTCAAATGCGCTTCGAAGGCCTCCGTCGCCTCCCATATATTTTCCCACTAGCGGCTTCGAAACTGTTCGTCCCGCGGAGGTGCTTGACGAGGAACGGTTTGAGCATTTCAAACAGGGAAAATACTATCCTGCTAATATCGGCGACGTGCTGAGTTCCAGATACCAGATCGTTGGTAAACTTGGTTTTGGGACTACTTCCACCGTATGGCTCGCCCGTGATCTTGAGTAAGTCAGGGCAGATCTACTTATCTTGATTAAACACTGACCCACGGAAACAAACAGGGGTCATCGATACGTGACACTCAAAATCTACACTCGTGACGAAGAGAACCAGGGAGAGTTTCAGATTTACAAGCAACTGAACCAAGGGAGTTCATGGCACCCTGGCCATGTTCATATAAGGAAAGCCCTGGATCTCTTCACAATCTCCTCTTCGAGCGGTGACCATCCGTGTCTTGTTCAGAACACGATGTGGGAGAGCTTCAAAGACCTTCTGTATCGTAATCCCAACCATCGATTTACTGAAGATCTCCTCAAATCTGGTCTTATGCAAATATTTCTTGCACTTGACTACCTACACACTGAATGCAATCTTGTCCACACAGGTAATACGATCCATTAAACCCTGTCAAATTGCCTTGCTCTGACCTGCATCTTTATAGACATCAAAAGCGATAACATTCTACAAGAAATAGAAGACAGGTCCATCCTTGAAAGTTTTACCCAAGCTGAGTTGAAAAGCCCATCACCCCGCAAAATCGTCAATGGTTTGCCGGTATATGCTTCACGACGTTTCGACTTGCCGAAGGTGTTTGGCCGAGCGGTTCTGAGTGATTTCGGCTCTGCAGTACGAGGAGATGAGAGGAGGAATCACGATGCACAGCCAAATATTTATAGATCGCCGGAGGTAATGCTGAAGACTGATTGGAGCTATCCGGTTGACATATGGAATGTTGGTGTCATGGTATGTTTTACCTGTTTACTTTCAGTATAATGTACTAAACTGAGGAATAATAGGTGTGGGATTTGTTTGAGGGGAGACACCTTTTCTATGGGAATGATCCTGATGGCAAAGGGTATTCGACCCGGGCGCATCTTGCAGAAGTCATGGGTATTCTCGGGCCACCTCCTTTAGATATGCTCCAGCGTGGAAAACGAAGCCATGAATTCTTCACCGGCGATGGTAAGTATCCTTTTCTTCGCTCAATGTAATTTGCAAAGGCTTACAACGACAATCTTATAGGGAAATGGAAGCAAGATATAGAAATCCCGGCAGGAGTCAGTTTGGAACTGTCAGAAGAGATGCTTGAGGGAACAAACAAGGAGATGTTCATTGCTTTCATGAGAGGGATGCTTCAGTGGCGACCTGAAGACAGAAAGACAGCGAAGGATCTACTTCAGGATCCGTGGCTGAATGGTTAGTTGGAGTAGCTTGAAAGTTCTTCGCTTTATAGTCGTCCCAAAAATCGCGCTCCACTAAATAAGATCTGTCACTCTATAAGTATAAGTACTTCAAGAAAGTGGCCGCGAGTGTATGGCTGCCGTGCGGTCGAGTTTCTGCTCTTGGAGCCGGGGGAAGTCAAGCCAAGGAGCAATGCGCTTGGGGTAGAGTCGGTTGACGGGGTCAGTCGCGTCACCCTGGGTCGTGATGGTCGCATCCGTCTCAACTCGAATCGCTTTGTAGCAGCGATCGAGAAGGCGAAACAGTGTGTTGGGCTACACTCGCAGGTCTGCCTATTCCCGCGCTTTTCTCGCTTCTTCAATCTGGCCTTGAAGCTTGGCGTTTATATCCTTCCATCCCTTAAGACGTATTTATAGGCTTCTCGGCTCATCCTGTCGCGTGAGTGCGCTGCTTGGTAAAAAGTGTCGGAACGTGGTCGTTACAGTACGGACTAGTACGGGCATAGCCAATTGAGTACTTGAGAGTGTGATTCTTATATACTATAGAAAGTGCAGAATAAATAGGGGATGAGCTTAGTAAGGTCGTTGAGAGCCTTACGATCATCAGGCAGAGGGGGTGCTGAATATTCCTCGGGCGCACTAGTAAAATGGCGACCCTCTTTTGTTGACAAAAAGCGCTGGGCACACCTCGTAATTGAGGCCTGTTGAACCACATGTCTTTTGATGCTCAGCGAGAGACACGAACAACAGTGGTGTTGAGAAAAAGGATGTTGAGTCGGTCAACAAACGTTGGCTCACTGTTGAATCCTTCACGCCCTCTTAGACTGAGGCTTTGTGGGAGATGCAATGACAGGCTCATTTTCTTTTTCTGATCACATCACCTATGAGCGACTCAACGTTGAATCACCGAAAAGCGCCTGCAATTTCATCTCTAGAAATCATGGACTTTTTTTTTAGCCTTGCTTTAGTGCTGTGTTGGTTGTGTTGAGCTGTGAGTCTGTCCATCTAGACTGCAGAACGCCAGGTCACGGTCGGATGTGCGGGTGCTCAACTCGTTGAAGCTTGGATAAACGTGGTCAACCCTCAATTTTCGAACTTGTATCCATGAAGATATATAGATCTTTTTTTTTTTTTGTTTTTTTTTTGTTGGTGACTCTTAAGTTCTAAAATATGCCATTTGTTAGATTTCTGAGGCGGTCAACCTGTTGAATTAGACTAGCAGGCTAGAATAATATGTCAGGATGAGGAATTGATGTACTGGCTGGTACTGAACATGTCCAATAGAATCAGGTGATTGATTGTAGGTGTTAAAGATCGGTTGAACGATCTCAGGGGTCTATGCAAATAAGCTTCGGCGTGTTACAACACCGTACTTCCGAATGTGCCCGGAATACCGTACAAATACTAGGGGGAATTGGGTGAACGATGAATAAGCCTGTCCCAAAGCGTCCTAGTGGTATTTGACCACTCTCTCAGTTCGTCAGCTTGTTTAAGTCAATAAGCAATTCGATTGGCAACGTGCTTTTTTCCAAGGGAACCATCCCTTCGTTTGTGAAAGTTCATCTAATTCCGGTCAATATAAGTATTTGGATTACTGCCTAAGCGACGCCTGCTTGTAATTTGGAGTGATGTATCAGTACCTACATGATTTATTGAAAAATTTCGAAACAATAATTCATTGAAGTGAATTTCTTTTCATGAGCCGTAGTTGATCAAACGAATTCTCGTAATCTTTGAGAGTACTTCCACACTCTTTCGACATGTCCCTCAATGGGGATTCTTCGCTTGTTTTGCACCATTCCAATGTGTTTGACGACAATCCTTTCCGAGATATTGGTCTGCCACGGGTCGGCTCCTTAACCACGGTGGATGGGCTTGGGCTTAAAGAAATTCCATATCCATTGGTGGTTGCTGGTGCTGAAGTAGCTAGGGATTGATGCATCAAAAAATAACGGCATATATCAGAGCAGAAATAACCTTGCGATGTTGGCCGCTCGCAGTGTAAACATGACACTGGCGTCGATGGCATTTCTGCAAGAAGATACTAATGAAATTAAGGGTGGTAAATATCACCAAGGGGTTAACTAGATTCCTTGTCCAGATTTATATATTGTTTACCTCGGTGCTATTGCATCATAGGTTTTTTTTTAACGTGGTTCAAGGAGTCATTACTATTCGACAGTCTCATATTTTTTCGGATTAACCATGGCTCTAAAATATGCAGTCTCAACGGAAGACCCTTGCTCCGCCCGGAGACCGCGAAAATTTTTATAATCGCAAAAGCTCAGCAATATGAAAATCCTTGCCAAGTCGGTCACTGCATAGAGTACCAAAGATTGGACGGAATTTGGTGTTCTCTTTGGTCCAATATACTAATAATCAGAGATATCAGAAGACAACGCGACAGACATCATCATATTATCATTGGCTGTAAACAATGCCTGTGGATTCAAGCCATCCGGTGGGGGCCGGATGCGGTTGTTCAGAGACACGCCCCTTGGTTTGGCCTTCGAAGTGGAATCTAGCTTCGGTCGCAGTTCATATCTTTTTGATTATTTTAATAGCACTGTATTGATTGCAACCTATTTTTGTATGGCAATTATAATCTGGAGGGCTTCAAGCCTTTTGCGTAGGCTGAAACTGGGGCCTTGATCCTTTGCTTGTCAAGAATATCTCAGCCGCTTAAAGCAGGTGGGTCACCCGGACCGTTTAGAGCCCGCGAAACAACCATAGCATTTCTTCGCACCATCCATACAATCTTGGTTGCAATCGACTCGCAGGCCATTGTTGAACATCGACATGATCATTGGCAAGGTTTTAAACTGTATGGTACAACGAAGCATTTTTTTCCCTCCCCAAATGCCGTCACCAGAACCCGCAAAGTAACTGACGGAAGCTGTTACCCGCACAACCTCGAGGTTCCTCATTCGCACAACTCGATGGTTATTCTGGTTCTAGTCCACTTCACCCTTAGTTTATTAGCAGGTATTAACTTTTGCTAGTGTATTCTGTACAATCATTACTGGTACGTTTTCATACGTTCGATTCAATCGCTACTCGCACCACGGATCACCCCGTGCTTCGCCATTATCATATCTATCCCCCACAACCTAATATTCCCTTCTACCCTCTATATTTCCATTTGATCTGGTACAGAAACTTTCCAACTTCTTTAACCTTCACATTCTCATCGTCCTTTTGATCCGACACCACACTTGTGCATCCCTCCTTGCTAACCTTTTTGTTAGCCTTCAACCTTCCTGCTTGCAAAGAAACTATTGTTCTAGCTGTACCCTCTTATCCCATCAGGATCTTTTCGTAATTACTGGGGAGATTTTTACTTTTTCTCTATATATCGGAGGACTCAACCCTCGTCCAACATTACTTCTGCATGTCAAACCAAATTGTTGAGACGAATGATGAACGCCGCATCCACCGGACATCCGCGGCCAGGTGTTGTAAATGCCCTCAAGAAATGCCTTCAAGATAGAGCGTTGTATTGAACAATTGTATTTTTTGCCTTTTCACAGGCCTTCATTAGAATTCAAGATCTTAGATATAAGGGGCAATCTCGCTATATAATCAACCGTATGTTTGTGGGTAGCATCGATTTTTTCGCATTCCATGAGAAAGGGATTATCAGTGAGTTTCATGACGTCATTAATTGCAGGCCGTCATATTTGTTTGTATGGTGGGCTGCCTCACTTCAACACTAAGATCGATACAAATTCAATATCCTGTCTACACTTGTGATTTTGGATGACAGATAGATTGAGATACAGAGCGGAAGAGCACGATTGCCGCACCTGCTAACAAGACGATCTTTACAGCCATGAACCAGCAACATGTTCCATCAGAAGGATAACCAGTCTGAAGCTCCTCATCCGGCAGGACCTGAAAACCCACTGGAGTATATGAATCTCCCACCAAAAAACGCTACAGTGGATGTCGAAAAGAATGATCCATGCTTTCCTCCTACCAATGATGGAGACCTTGAACAGAAGAGGAGTTCCAACTATGTGACCGGCAAGAATTACCAGCAAAAAGATTCCCGGTGGTCTTGTCTTCAACTCTTTTTTGGAGCAGTTTTCCTCTTATCGTCTCTTTGTCTGGCCTATAGAGGTTTTGAACCGGCACTTCACGTGGTAAGCCTCAGTAAATAACCAAATATAAACTGCAGTGTACAGATATTGACTAAGCACCAACTGCGACCCCAGCTTATGGAGTGTTCTGTAGAAACCCATGAGATTCCCTCCCTTACTCGAGAAACCATTGTTTCGAAAGACTTTGAGTCTATTGTAGGGAGATACCCTCTGTTTGATCTGTTATCATTGTCAACTGCCTCTGGTAGTATTGACGTGACAGTCATACCACAGAGAGCCGATGATCAGAACCCGGGCAACCCAGCCCACCTCCGGATTCGAACAAAATCGGGGAGTATCACTGTTTCTTTTGCTGTCCCGGAGACTATTTTCCCGTCGGATAGTAATTTTAAGCAAAACATCAACCACCATATCGGGTACTGCACTGTGATAGAACCCTTCCAGTTTCGTCCGTGCGAGATTGATGTCGAGACCGAGAGTGGGTCTATCTCAGGACAGTTATATTTCAACCTCGGCGCATTTCTCATCAGAGAGCGGCGGTATCAGTGCATGTCTGGTACCAATTATTAGGCTCACAGATCACGGGAGTGTCAGTGACGATGGAAATAACAATACTCAAACATATAATGCCTCTATTGTGACCTCAACAAATTCAGGAAGTCAGGATATCCATCTGACAGACCCGTGTTTTGTCAATCCCCCCCACACGCTTCCGGCATGAAGATCCGGATTTGCATCTTATCCACGCGCAGGCTCGCCATATTACCCATGATGGAAGTCTCAATATCGCTTACCCCCATGCATGGGCAGGTCACGCTCATGTCCATACTGGGAGTGGAAGTATACGTTTTGGCGGACGGAATCTGAACGTGACCATGAATGAGGATGGATCAGTTGATGGCTTCAAACGTGAGGGCCAGCAAGATTGGGGAGAAATTAATGTATCTTTTCAATCCGGAGCTGGTGCGATATTCTTTTATGTTGGCTGACTGTTGTTCAATGTTACAAATTTTTGCTATTCCTGTAAAACCTAATCATAAACTAGCCTTCGTTTATGAATCAAAGTTTCCAATTTGTTCTTTTTGACTGAGCCTTTGTCTGTATTCTGCCAGACGCCATTCCTAATGTAGTTAGCTACGTCTTGTATCTAGAGTCAACTATAGTGGTTTTTAATATTGAATGTTCATCTCAAGACACTATCCACCTCTACGGATACGCGATACCCTCACAGCATTCATCAAAGCAGTTTCGTGTTCATTCAGGAACGTAGAGTGAAGATCCCAGGAGTAGATTAGTTTCCTAGGATAAGGAAGGAGCTCCCAGGGGATCACAGCTCATAGAATTGCTTTTGGCGTTTCCAGAATCAATGTCATAGATCGAGCATATATCGTAGCTTGGGTGTTTGGTCAGCTGGTGTAGTGGTACAACCCAAGCACCCGCGATCCGTCACAAATTCGAAAATCAAGTGTTGACAACGTTTAGCCAAGCTTCAAAGGATTGTGCACTCGCACATCCGACCGTGACCTCGTTTTCGCAGTCTAGACGGACAGACCTACAGGTCAACACAACAACACAACACTAAAGCAAGGCTAGAAAAAAAGTCCATGATTCGAGAGATGAATATGAGGGCGCTTTCGGTGAATGAATGTTGAAGCGCTCACAGGTGAGGTGAGGTATAAGAACAAGAAATATGAGCCTGTCATTGCGGATTGAATAGTACTCTGTGTCTCATCAATTTTAGAGACCCGTGAAGTATTCAACAGCCAGCCAACGTTTCTTGACCGACTCAGCATCCTGTTCCTCAACACGACTCTTGCTCGTCGCTCTCACTGAGAATTTGAAGACATCAGAAATGCGGCTGCAAATAATTGCCGGGAAAGAAGGAATGGGTTTCAACAGGCCTCAATTAAGAGAGTTGTCCCTTAACGCGTTCTACCAAGCAGAGCACTTGCGCAACAGAAGAAGCCGAGAAGCCTATAAATACATCCTCTACCCCCGAAAGTTTGCTCCACAATTTATTCACTTGACCACGCAAAGTCGAGCAGGCTTGTGTCTGAGGCAGTCGATAAGTTTTTCCCTTTGAACCAGAAGCAATATTTCCACTGTACTGACATGTTTAGAATACATCGTGGATGAACAAGCCAGACAGTGCCTGTGAGGGATACAGGTAGATTCCCGCCAGATGTACTGCCATTCACACCAGCCGATTAAAGATGTATATGCAAAGATGCCTCCGCCACAGCAGCCGACTGAACTGATCTACTGTACAGCCTCTGTGTATTTCCAAGAGAAAGCGCGAATGTTCACGTCGAGGTATGTGATCCTTAGCCTGACCTGTCTCACTGATTCTGAAGACGATGCGATTTCAATAGAACCGAGGACAATTGACCACAATGCGCGAGCGCAAAGGCCACCGATCTTTGCCGTCTCTTTGTCACTAGTCTTGGCCACCAGAACATGTGAAGCATGGATTATGTCGCCGATCTACAAGCTAATGAACGATAGTGAACATCGTCATCGCACCAGAAGTCCCCGAGGATACAGCATCCCCGTTAGTGCTCTACACAAAGCCATGGCTTACACACCATTCCCGGCCCAGTCGCTTCAAACCACGCAGCATACCCTAGGCAAAAAACTGCGAACCAAGCAAGCGGCCAACAACAGGGTGCGGACATCAGATTGCGAATTTCGTTGCGCAGAAGCGTGAGAGGTTGATGGTAAGGTAAGTGAGTTACCGCGTCTCCTGCTGCGCTATATCCAATTTTTTGTGCCAAGACTTGTACCCCCAAACACGAAAATTGTTACTGATTTTCATGCCATTGTACATAGGAGCAGCCCATCGCCACTGTCGCCGGATCGCAGATAAGACCAAGGTGGCACTACGACGCGTGCTCCATCGCGTATTGCGCCTCGACTTCACCGCCCGAACGGTGGGGCGTTCGCCGCCCCCCTCGCGAGGTATTATCCCATTACGACGGTAGAATTTCCTGTCACTGATGGTTCGTCACGCGCCTTTGGCTCTCAGAAGTTAACCGGTGCACCCAGCGCGGCTTCTTCGAAGCGACAGCCGGGGAGTGCGACGAACTGGATACAAAATCATGTCAACACGGCATGAATTGTGACTGCATTGATGAAGACAATTGTAAGTAATCTCGTCGGCATGATATGACCACAAAGCTAATTGATCGTTTCGTATCAAGCGAACCTTCTGCGGACTTAATGAACAGGTAAGTTATAAAATCTCGTCCAAGTTGTAAGCTTTACTGACTCGGATCGTACAACAGCGCCCCTCATATTCCCGTCTCAAATCGAATGCGAAGCGACCAATCCTGTCTGCTCGAGCTCCTCTATACCGGTGCGATCGCAAGCTATCTGTCCCTTCCTCATGACCACTGGTGGCATGGACGAGGAATGACTGGAAGATTCACATCGTCTCGGCCCTTCTCTTAGTCGACACTATGCACCAGCCATGTGCTGATGTGTCTACCGATACAAAGACCAAGGCATAATGGGCTAAACCACCGTGTCTCGGCATTCGATTGCCGCGAAAGAATATGTTCCTTGTGGATCAAATCACTGACGTCTAATGGGTGAACCTCATTGTCCTCAGTTGGCATCTCGCGTCTTTCCAGTCCTGGAACTCCAAAAGACCGAGGAATGCTGGTGGTTTTGTCCACAGCCTGGCCTTTTGGAAGCAACGGTCGGAGAGTGCGGTGAACCAGAATACAACATGGCATGAATCGTGTGCGTTGTTTTGCCGAAGAGGACTGTAAGTGATATGTTTGGCAACTTCATATCACGACGAAGCTCACTGATCGTCTCGTCTCAAGCGTACACAGCGTGCCCTTTGCAAACTCTATGAACAGGTAAGTCATAATAGCTCGTCCAAGTGGTAAGCGTTGCTGACTCGTATCGTACAACAGGACGCCCTCATTTTCTCTGCTCGAGCTCCCCTCTACCCATGCGATCGCATACTGTCTATCATTTCCACATAACTACTGGTGGCATCGATGATGCTACCAATGTAGACCCACCGATATTTTCTAGTTTCACGACTCCTATCTTGTCTGTCTCTTGACATATGAGTTTTTTGTGAAATTTTCGTTTTGTGGCTCATGAGCCAACCTTTCGGAATGCACCACAACTAAGATCGGGTCGCTATATTGTATACACGAGAAACATCGCTGGCAATGATGTTATGACTTAGTGGACTTTGAGGCACCTGCGACGATTTTCTAGCCTAGAATCAGGCTCAAGATTTCGTAATTGAGTTAGTTACGGCGATGTATAGCGTCTGGCTGGCGGCGATTACCATTTGCAGACTTTTCTCTTAGTCTTCACTGTCATTAAGCTCGCCAGTCTTTCAAGTATGTTTATTCAATCGCCGTTGAGTGGCCCGCATGTCTTTGTTTTCATTCTCATCAAGGTCATCCAAAAATCCATCGGCCTCACCTCCATGCCACTCAAGATAGGATGCTGTGGTACATCTGTCTTGTGAACCGAACAAAGGGGCAAATGTCGTACGCTTGAGGTTTTCTACAACTTTGTTACGAATCTTGTCTAGATATTCTTGAATGTTGGCGTTGTCCATTTTGGAGGTGCGGGAATCAAGTTCGTAATCAAGATCAAAGTACTGAGCTCCGCAAGCTCCATATCTGTATCTCTTAGTGAGCCGGACGCACTTCGTTTTGCCTCGATGACATATCATTCCTCCCCTGGTGTAGTCCATTCTTTTTTCCCCACACTTGGGGGAACATGGCCTCGCTTCTTGCAGCGGGAGTGTTTCTGTACAATTGACTGGATCGTGTGCATGGATGGGCACCTGCCCATTGAGAGGTCAGTAATTCCTGCCGCTCTGGACAGCCGATTTCCGATCAGCGTCAAATTGACCGGATCTTTGCCGACAGTATCGCAATTTGTGCTTTGTCGCTGATTTATCCTGAGGTCATGCGAGGATTACAAGGGTTATATTCATTGAATAATCAAGCAATCTACAAGAAACTTTTCGGCTGTATGTCCAGTATGTCCCAAGAGAAAGGAATGACATCATGACGTCATAATTACACCTCTCTGTCCATCTTCCTCCTCCCCCCCCCATCTCTCTCTTTAAAGCAAAAATTTGGTTTATATTTCGATAAAACAACTTGTTTCTCATCATGGCCAATAAGAAGAAACCATCTGCTCAGAGAAGAATACTTCATAGTCACTCGGGGCCCCCAACGTTCCCCAATGAGGTGAAGGACAAGCGAATTCAAACAACCACGCCCGGAGAAGAGCTCCTTACTGCTTTATCAAGGTAGCTTGAGGCCTTTGCGAGGCCTTTGAAGGATACTGACCGGACCATAGAATGCGGATTGATCCAAAATACAGCGATCTGACCATTCTATGTTTGGATGAAGTCTATGCTGTGCACAAGTGTATAGTCTGTACTCGATCGGACTTTTTTGCTAAGGCTTGTGATGGTGGATTTCAGGTGAGATAGGAAGGTTGCGATAAAGGCACTAGACGTCTATATCTAATGCAGAACAGGAAGCCTCTACGGATGAAATCATTTTACAAGAAGAGCCGGCTTTGGTCCGCGAGATGATTGAATATTTCTACACATTGGACTACCTAGTGAGCTACCCTGTCTTGCTGCCTAATACAGTGCTTCTAATTCTAGCAAGGCTCCTTCTACCAATGTCTCGGAAGATGTCTCTGCAAATGAAGTTGTTCCTTGTCAACAACTAGAGGGGAGAGAGGATCAAGGAAATGCTAGTCAACCTGATGACGCGGCTAGGAATCCATCAGCCGCGTTTGATTCTTTGTCCTTTCACATTCTGATGTATTCCCTCGCAGATCGAATGTTTATCGAAGGCTTAAAGGCTTTATCAAATCAAAAGGCTGAACGAGAGCTGATTGATAGTTTAGATGCAAACTCGTTTCCGGGCGCTATTTTTGAGATATATAACTCCACTCCTGCAGATGACCGAGGCCTACGAGATATGGCGGTGAGAGTGACTATGGATCACCTTACAAAGTTGAGGAGGGGAAATGAAGAAGTCCCAGTGACTTTTGAGAATAGTTTGTTGAAAAGCGTTCCGCAATTTTGCTTTGACTTGCTCGTGGCAATTATGGATAAGGATATGTAAATCTCAGGTCTCTGCCGGAAGTACTACTCTCGAGGTAGCGAATCATTTTTGGTCTGCAACTTTTGTGTCAGTCAATAATTCTTCCCAGCATGATTTCACGAAACTTATTCAGGCTCCTAGAAGGAATTCACTGAGGCTTCTTGGCCATTTGAAGCTCGGATGAATATTGGCCGCTGTAAATGAAGGAAGTCCAAAGCTCTACGCACTACAAGTGGATCAAAGCCGGAGAGGGGCCTCTCTTCTGACGTTTCCTAGGAGCATACTCTAGTTGGCCGGAAAAGGGATAAGCAATCCAGTATTAAATGCTGCGTTACTTTATATTGCGCAGTTGGCTTAGGAGAGGATGTACGAAAACTCTGTGCAGAGGAAAAGCTTGTTTACAGAAACTAGTGAAGTCGCTCTAATCTGGGTTTAGAATAAGGTATTTTTTTTTAATCTTGAACTAGCTTTCAGTGTCTCAATAAGCCTCATTGTCAAGCTAGAGCACAAATTTTGCCGCTCGCTGAAGGATAACATGCTTCCACATCTCATGCTCATGTCCCTCGCACTTCACCATGCTTAGACGGGAAATGGAAGAGAACTGGGCGGCGAAGAATGAGCGAAGAAATACCAGCAAGAATTATCCCGGCACTGAAATTTTATTGATTACATAGCAAGCTAACAGAAAGCTCAAAAATCTTTGGTGAATGTGTTTAAGTCCTCGGTTCCTAGGAGTCATATCGTCCTGGAAATCGGTATCATTGTTTCTAAGCCTCTCGTAAATGTAGATCAAGTTGGAAACGGCGAAAGTCCTGCTCATTGTGTGTCTCACTCCTAGAAGGGACTAATGTGAAATTCAATTAAAACCGCGAAACTTTTTGTTTTGATGCTAACGTTTGTCAGGGAGATACGGGATAAATGGAGACATGATCTGCGGGACCCACCTACGGGAGGGCCCGAACCCCCTCCCACAAACACCCAAGAAACCCCCACCAGCTTCTCGGTGGAAGATTTCCACCCCAGAGTAAACATCGGATCCCCTGAATCGCCTACCGAAAGCCGTAAGCGAACACGGAGCGGTGATGCGTTTGCACTATCGGAAAACTCGGGTCGAGTCACCACCAAGGAGGTGTGGAAACTCATCGGAACCCTGAAAGACATTATCCGCCATCAAACTGCGGTCATCGAATCCACTCAGAACGAGCTACAGGAGATTAAACACAATCAACATGTCCTGCAAGAACAGAACGAGAAGCTCCATGAGGAAGTGAAAGCGTTACGAGCACAGGTTGAAAGCGCCCCTGCAGTCACCGCGACTAGGACTTGGGCAGCAGTCGCAGCCACTGGCGATAATGCCATACCCTCGCTGAGTCACCAGAAACCCGAGAAAGAGCAAAACTGCGTCCGAATCAGCTCCCAGAGAGCCTTTGTAGACCCAAGAGATAATGACAACAACGACGGAAACGCTTTTGGGCGATATCTCCCCACAGATACCGTCAACACTCACATCCGCACAGCATTGCAGAGCGACGCTGCAACACAAGACGCCCAAGTGGTAGGAATTGGCACCACAAAAACCGGCTATCTCATTCGATTCAAGAACGTGGAGTCGGCTCAGGTGGCTCGCAACAACACTGAGTGGCTACATAAATTGGGCAACAACACGAGGCTGGTTAAACCACGGTTCAGCATTGTAATGCACCGCACTCCAACTAACGAATTCGACCTGGAAACTGGTACCGCCCAAGCAGCAGAAAAAACCGTCCAAGAGAACGACCTGGCAGAACACGGTTTCCACATCGAAGAACTGGCCTGGATGAAAGCGAAGGACAAGGCCCTAGGGAAATTCGCATCGTTAGGAATGTGGTTTGACTCCGCAGAAGGAGCAGAACATATGCTCCGTAGCGGTTTCGTCGTCAGTCAACACTACATCCCTCAGTTAGAGCGATGCGAGATCAAGAAAAAGAGATGTTTCCGGTGTCAACGGTTTGGACACCTGGCATGGTCATGCAAAGAAACCCCGCGGTGTGGACACTGTGCAGGTCAACACGAGCTGCAGCGCTGCCCACCAGGAATCAGGGCCCGCTGCCTCGACTGTGGGGGTGAGCACGCTACCGGAGATCGACGATGTCTAACCCCCGCGACCTCTCATCCCAACCGAGGTTAGAGAGCAACCTATGCATCCTTCAGTTGAATATCATGAAATCAGGACCAAGAATGGAAGCACTCATCAATGACCACCAAGGCCAAGACCTGGATATCCTTCTGATCCAGGAGCCATCGATCACAACCTACCGCACACATGTCAACCACAGCGCCTGGCGACTATATCGACCCACCACACAGACCGACGCAGTTCGGTTTCGCAGCCTCATCTACGTGAACAGACGGATCTCCACCTCCTCACACCGTCAAATTCCCTGCAACCACCCAGATGTCGTAGCCATCAAGATCTGGACGACCTTCTCAAACTCTTTTCTTTTCTGTCTACATACCTCCAGTACCGCTCTTTACGGTCGATGACGCGGCTGATGGAAACGGTACTGCCCAGATCTTGATTCTCTCCTGCGGACAAAGATCGTTAGCCCGACAGAGCACTACGGGATCGTTTCGCATTTGCAAGTGCTAGATGTCAATGCGTCTAAAATTCCTATTTCCAGTTTGCTTCATTTCAGATATGTTTTTGCTCGGAGCAGAGTGTCGTTAAATCAATGCGCCCATTCATAATGGCGGCGGCTAATGTAAATTCCGACAGCGAGTTCAGCTGAGCCTTGTGGACGAAGACGGACCTTGTTGGTAGAGAAGTTTTTACGCTGATCAGGTCGTCAACCATCACCTGCTTGCTACATCAAACCACCCAGCATACTGCTCCAATATTGGCCACGGTTGGCTGGCTAGTCGGATGTAGGATATAGCCCTCACTGTCAAATAACTCAAATGATGTTTGAAAGGCATGGACGTGGCTATACACATAGTCACCCAAGAAGAGAGCAACCAAGCCGACGATGAGTTGAGTGCAGCCGTAGTAAAGTCGATACTTGCGGTCCTCTCGCAGCCATGTTGGGTGGATGACAAGGACGATTCCGAAGAAGGAAAACAGGGCTGAGATGAGGGCCACAATCACCATGCCCTCGAGGACGTCGTCCAGGAGGCTTTGGAACTTGATGTCTAGAACAGCCTCACTAAGAGTGGCAAGGTTGGATTGTGCGCGGCCTCGCAGGATGATCACAAAGCGTGCAGTGGCCGAGCTGAGACCGGAAATGACCAGCCAGGGGATGAAAAGGAAAAGGATGGCAAGACCCATCCGAATCATGGCACCACCAGCATTCTGAGGCATTTTGTGTCCTCAAAAACAGTTCTATCGATTGCAGAAAGGTGATGGTTGTCTTGCTCAGAGAATAGTTGAGGATTTAAAGAGTCAGAGGCAGAAAGATGAAGTAGTCAAATATTTCAGGGCACCGTAAATTTATACGTCCTATGTGCTACCCAAGAAAAGGCTTTTTCAGCAAAGAAAGGCTCGGTTAACAATGAGGCGCGTCAGATGCCTTTCAACTACTCGATGCCTTAGTGGCAATTCGTATAGGACATTTCGATAAGAATGTTTCAGTTTGAAGCGCTATTCCTATCCGCTAGGTCGACGACCTCGGAGAACGTGTCTGATCTCTTGGTAGTAAAGCATCTCCTGGAATGGCCCTGTGAGCTTCCAGGCGCTGCTGCCCTTTTTTTCCCCCATAAATTGCACCGGGTATCCTGTAATTATATTAGTTGCTGCATATAGCCATATCAAGACACTATATACAATAGTATTTGACCCGGGCGCGAGGCCGTGGGTGTGGAAACACTTGAATACATGCGCATTCTCCTACCGTTTGCATATCTTCTATCCTTGATATCAACCGACCTCCTTTTCCCCCTGAGTGCTTTACCACTCGAGTGCCTGTGCTCTCATTTGACTATATCGATCGGTTTTGTTCCAAACAACGTTTGCGTCCAGGTGGGAGTCAGCCATGGTAAAATTTATACATTGTAATGGGGAAACCGCGCCACTTCTCACCTGCGCCACATCGTCAAGAATGGTAGTTTTAGTCCGCAATTCCATAGCATGGCAATTCATGCATCTTACAACTCTCACAATACGGACATTCTTCATTACATTGCCTATACATGAGCCTGCTTCCCTACCAATGACCCCCGTCGGGCACTGAGCACCCCCACCGTCTTGTCTGCGATGTCAGACCGCCAGCGCGCTCTTCCCACTTCAACATGTACCGAACCGAGATCAGGCAATCATTCTCAAGCTACTCTGGTTTCAGACCCAGAGAACCGCATCGATGCTGCCCCTACACTAGCTCTGTACCAGGCTCTGATCAAAGCTCAATGATGCCTAGACATGGTTCAGGACGCAGCATCTCAGGATATTCAACTCCTTGGAGTTGCTCAACGCCTGGACAGCCTTCTTCTGGACACCCAAGGGCTTGGCCCCAAACAATGGAGCTCTCTAAAAAAAAGGGGTCATAACCACTGTCCTTTCACTCTTGTACTGCTGCATCTTGAAATGCCACGAGCTCAAACCTACTCCGCTGGCAATCTCGTCTATATGCAATCAACTTGACGCCTGCAACTTGGCTCTCCAATGCGTGTATGGTGCAGCTATGATGTATGTTTCAGTTTTCTATCTGGTTTGTACTATCTAAAACTTGTTACTATAATTTCTTTAGTATTTTGTTGGTCGGCTTCCAGACGCTTTTTATGAAAGTGGAAAAAGTGTCGTTTTTCAAATATACATCCCCAGGTCGGTTATTCATATATCTGTCGATCCCAGTGTTGTAATGAACATAGCCACGCTTTCACTACGATCACACGGACATTCAACGATCATCGATCGCTGACCAAATTGGTCCAGTCCACAAAGGTCGTAGACGGGTACCTGGGACTTTTCGGGATTTTAATAAGAATTGATGGAACAACCCGATTTTGCTCTTATCTGCGCTAATCTGGACTAGGAAAGATATCATCCGGGAGCAATTTGAAGGAGATCTCGTTGAATTCGCGATATACTATAAATAAAAAAGTGGCTGCGTCTCGATCACAACAAGGAATTCTTCAGAGATGGCGGACCAATGTTCGTCCATCACCGTAACACTGCGGTGACAGATAGCATTCTGAAGGGCATTCTTACTGTGAGAAGACGGGGTATGAAATAGCGTGTATCAATATGTTTCGGACTCCGCCTGCAAGGGAGAAACAACGTTGCACTCTAAATTCCAGGGAGAGGATGTGTGTCGAGGAATGCGGAATGATGCTTGAGCTATATAATCGCCATGATATCCTGTGTTAATCTTATGCAACAAAATCATGACAATCAAACAAGAAACTCAAGTGGAGGCGAGCGTGGTGTTGGCTGACCCTGCTCTGCTTGATAAAATTGACAAATTATTCGCTTGCAATGTGGGAGAGTACATCAACTTACCACAACTAGTTGTTGTCGGAGATCAATCTAGTGGGAAAAGCTCTGTACTGGAGGGCCTGACGAAATTGAAATTTCCCCGAAATAGTGGTCTGTGTACTCGGTTTGCGACCCAAATCATTTTTCGAAGAGATCCAAGCTTGAAAAGGCGGAGAATCGATGGATCCATCATTTCAACAGGACACGGCGATGGAAACGAAAGTGATAGCTGGAGTAGGTCCGACATTGAGTCCTTGAACGAGAAAGAATTCGAGACTATGATGAATGAGGTGGGTCTTTAATCCTGAATGCAACGATATGTGCAAGACTAAGCTTGTCTTAGGTTCACCAAGCGATGGGCCTCTCAGGGTCAATGGGAGACGACCTGCCCACGTTTTCTCTCGATGTCCTGCGGTTGGAGATAATTGGGCCTCATGAAAACCATCTTAGTGTCATTGATGTTCCCGGAATTTTCAAAACCACAACACCTGGCTTGACTTCAAAGTCAGACATCACCCTTGTGAGGGAAATGGTGCTCAACTACATGCGAAATCCTCGGTCAATAATGCTTGCCGTTGTTCCAGCCAATGTGGATATTGCAACACAAGAGATAATCGAACTCGCCAGAGAGCAAGACCCGGACGGAACCAGAAACTTACGCATCCTGACCAAACCAGACCTTGTCGACAAAGGTGCAGAAGATAGGATTGTTGAACTTGTGGAGGGGAAGCAGGAATCCCAAGAATTAGGCTGGGTGGTAGTTCGAAACCTTGGCCAGAAGGACCTCCAGGACTCTTCAAAAGACCGTGATGTCGAAGAAGAGATCTTCAGCAATTCACCCCCTTGGAACCGCCTCTCAAAAGATAACTACGGCATCGAGGCTTTGAGGACGAGGTTGCAAGCACTTTTGGCCTCCAACGTGCGGCGAGAGTTTCCATCGGTTAGTTTTTTCTGCAAGTACTGGAATACGAAGTTCGACCACTGAATGAATAACAGGTGCGTTCTGAAGTGTCTAAACGTCTTAAAGAATGCAAGAAGGATCTTGAAAGCCTCGGGGAAGAGCGTGAATCCCCCGAGCAACAAAGAAAATATTTGCTCGACATTGCTTCAAAGTTTCAGCGTATCACTGAAAATGCTCTTCAAACAAACTACGGCTCCCAAGATGCTTTTGACGAGGAGCCTGGCTTACGATTGGCA